AAACTCATAGAGAAAGAGACTCTCTTGTGGTGTTATTCGCGAGGCTTGTGGTTGTCATCGAGAAGATGGTTTTCAGCCCCTTGTACGTTCCTGTTGCTCTCAAATCTCAGTGCTTCCAGCTGTTTTGAAACCAAAAACACGTATTTATAATTATGAATATCGTAACGAATCCAAATGAAGTTGGAAGTTTCTAAGAAAGAGAAGAACACATAGACAGACCTGTTCGATCAATTCATTATCCTCAGGGGTAGTAGCGACTTCAACTTCGGTTTCTTTAGACTCTCCCACTTGGTTGCCACTGAATCACACAACAACACCAACAAAGAATCCACAATAAAAGACTCATCAGAAACTCTCCTAAAGTCATATCTCACATAGTTTAAGAGAGCCTGTGGCAGAAGAATACAAAAGACTCATCAGAAACTCTCCAGGTATATAATCTCAGAAAAAATGGTTGCTATCTAGAACAAAAAGAAACTAAAGTATAGATAGTAATGAGTACCTCGCAAATTATCACATCGTCTGCACTACTGTTGTTGTGCAACTTTTGGTGCCACTCTTCCATCATGCCGGATTTGCAGTGATTATTTCTCTAACAAAAGATATACAAATACAATTATTAGTACAAATCCATAAGTAATAAGGTTTAGCTCCATAAGTATGTAGAAGCATGTACCTGAATAACAAGGATTTCATCACGGATTCTCTGACCAACATCATCTTGACCTCCACGACCCACAAGTGCCATAGTAAGTCTCACGATTTCTCTCTTATATGGTTGCTGCAGATATATATTCTCCATCAGATTAGTGAATCTTTCTAGTGCTTCACTAATTTCCCTGCAGAAAACAACAGTCAAGGCATAAGAAGCTCTAGTAATCAAGTAAAAAAAGAGTCAAATAAGAGTGGCTAATGAAACTATACCGAGGTTTCACGTTGTAATTCTTGTTCCAGGTGAGATGTCTAGTGGCCATGAATTTCATCCACACCGGTTGCAACTCCACCTGTTACCAGTTACCACCAAGAGAGCAGAATTTAACAACAAAGAACAGACTGAAACATGATAATGGTTTTGAAGAGTACTAACCACGGAATAAAATACATGGGCGAAGAGAACAACCAAAGCAAACTGTACAGATGCGTAAATCCAAACAAATCTTCTCATTACTGCAAAAAGATTTAACCCATTGTCCACAAACATATCAGAAACAATGAGCTCAATGAAAGAGCCTTTCCAAAAAGAGGAGTATACATACCCATGGTTGATGCAGTCATGGATGCAAGAAGGCCAAGAATACAAGAAAACGGCAGGGATATAGCTATTGCACCCGTACCCATTTTCTCAACCTGCAAATGGAAACTTACTCTTATACTTAGTATAGATGCTACTTGTTGTTAGCATAGAATAGTAGAGATGGTTTACCAGGAGCTGCTCCAGGAAACAAAAGTAAGCAAGCATGCTAATGATTACTAGAATCGGCACCTCCTGCCAGACCCTGTAGAGAAACAATGCAAATGATTAAGGCAAGTTACAAGAATGAGAAATATAAGTGTGTTTTTACCTGTACCCAGTGACATCAATCTGAGGAACACCAGAGTTTCTAATGCTTTGGATCCGTAAGAGTGTTACAGGTAAGTTCTTAACTTCTTGTTTACACACCTCACAGGTCTTGTTACCCTTTATGGTGAACCATTTAAGAGCACAGTCTTTGTGAGCAAGAGCAAGCTCTCCTTTGCAACTACACTCCATTTTTAAGGTTTCTCCTCCTTCACAGAGATCTACCAAACAAATCCTACAAACCGCTTCATCCTCAGGTATGTCTTCTCCATCAGCTTCACATGTTTCTGTTCAAATACATTAAACACAGATTTACTAATGAATAAACAACCATAAAACATACTGAACCATGAACTTACCAGTATTAACAGCCTCTGACGCATTTAAGAAAACGTCTCCTTCCTTTACACGAGGAGTTGAAGGAATCACTCTAAAGAATGAATCCATTCCCTTTAGGCTTGCTTCCTTGTCATTAACAGGCACAGAGCGAGAGCGAGCTATATGCACCCTCTCTTTGCTCTGCAATATACCAAGTATAAGTACCTAAACGAACTCTAAAACTACACAAGAAGAACCTTACGCTTGGATTTTGTGGAGGAACACTGCTTCCTCCATGAGCTGACTCTGAGTTTAAAAGGATAATGGGAGTCACAGGTAGAGATGAAGTTCTCTTGATCCTAGGCGTAAACAGCTTTGACAGTGATAGTGACCTCGATATGGAAGCCTTCTCCTGCAATGCAGAAGGACAAAACACATCCCCTTGTCCCTTCTCCACATCTGTGTTCGAGGCTTTTGGTTTGAAGCCAAAATACTCACCCAGTAGACTCATGCGATTTGTGAGGTCCCCACAAGAAGAGCTGTAGCGCATCATCGTTATCAAACCCTTGTATCATCGTTAATATCACTGAAGCTCAGCATTGCATCCTTTAGTGAATTCTCAACGGGAGTCTTACACCTACAAAGATAAGAGACAAGGATAAAGGATTTTATAAGCAACATGTTGGACTTGTTATAATTAAGTACAAAGGGAAGAAGTCTCCACTTCTTCCCACTCACCAATCTCTGCAAGGATGTTCGACAGTGAAAACATACGCTCCAGCGTCTGATTGCTCTGAAGATCTGAAGCTTTCGCCGGAGAAGAAGGATGAGAGGAATCGCCAGAGAGAGAAAGAGGCGGCTTGTTTTTTTTTGTCTGCCCTTTTTTTTTAATAATAAAGAGTATTTATATGTCAAGTCATTTTTCTGGTTAGGTTAAAATTTTTTGGTTTAATTTTGGTTTAGTAAAATTATTTTGGTTAAAATTTTAGGTTAAGTAGACTTCTTTGGAAGTCTACTATAATATTTTTCATTATTGTTTAAATAGTTTATAATATATAATCTAAAATTTTTCTTTTCATTATATATTTAGTAGACTTAGTATAAAATTTTTGTTGATAAAATTTTAATTTAGATTTTAATTCATAAATAAATAGATTTAATTTTCAAATATTTTTTTTTCAAATTAGTTAATTATAATTTTAAAATATTTTTTGATAAACACCAATTAATGTAGACTGAAATAGACGTCTACATATAAGTAGACTTTACTGTAAGTCTACTATACCTAAATATTGGCGCCAATATGGAAAAATAGGCTCCAAAATTCAT